TGCAGGTATGTTTGTTTGCAGAACAAGTCATGGAGTTGTTTTTTTGTTCTGAAGGAGATCTGATTATCATTATAACATTACATTTTGGCAGTCTTTAAAGCATGAAGGAATAAGCTTACATTTGAAATAGTAAGATGATGAAAGAAAGCGAGGTGGAGCAAAAAGCAAAGTAGAAAATGGCAATAATGTTTGGCATACAAAAGGAGAGACAAAAGGGCTGGAGGCGAAAGAGCTGGAAAAGTGGAGATGACAGTAGTCAAGCAAAGGATTATCAACCCATCCACAAATACTTTGCTAGTCTCTCAGGCAAAACAAGTCTTTGCGAAGTTGTGGAAGAAGAAGTGATATGATTTAAACACAGCCAAGATATAAGGTAGTATAGGAGAAGAGACAAGGAAATATGGGGTACTGCTTATGCCTGGTGAGTAGAAAGATGATGCTGCCATCTGTGATGAGAGGAGAAGGAGAAGGGAAAATGGGAAGAAATTTGAATGTTAGTGAGCTTGAAATAACAGATCTGCATCAAACTAAGGTGTTACAGTTAGCCATACAGCAAAAGTTTTTTAAGAAAGCCTCACAAGGCTTTCTAAGGTACTTCTTTCTTCATGCCATTTCTCTACTCCCTATGAGCTCAACAGCTGTGTGCAAGTGTGTTGAAAATATCTGATTATTTTGCCCCATCCTTAATGAGTTTTCATTTCTTAAAAGAAACTGTTCTAATCAAGGGAATATCAAAACAATGTCCCTTTAGCAGAAGATGAAGCAAATCAGACTTTGAGAACTGAACAGAGATGAAGCAATTATGAGAATTGATCTTCACAGAAACTGGGGTGGGAAAATATCTAAGGACAGGCAAGCAATTTTCTCTTGCAATATACACAGATAGGAGATAATATACGCAGATAGGAGAAACTGATCAGGGTGTTTGAAGTACTTAAAGCCTATTGTTTTCCAGAGGGAAAGAAAAAGCCTACGATGTAGAAAAAATGGACAAGTTGTTTTTGTCTATAGTTTATAAAAGCTTGGACTTGGACAGTTGCAGTTTTTGGACAAAAAACTATTGATAGTACAGAAGAATCACCAAACTTGGTGATTCTGTGATTCTGTGAATCTCATCAGAGATGAAACTGTTGCCTTTCTATCCCAATTTGCAATAAGGAAAACAACAGTGACAAAATATATGGAATTCCTTTTATGATTGCAGAAGAGTTACCAAGTGAAGTAAGATAACAAATAATCAGGCCAATTCTGAAACATGAACATTACTGGTATGAGCAAAACTGACAGGATACAGAACATACCTATTCCATACAGCTGAGATATGCAAGGATGAAAACATCAAAACTTAGTTTTCTATCTAGTGTGCCAACAAAAGGCATGCCACAGAAACATCTCTGGTCTTTAAAGCTAACTAGTTAGAGCCTGTTTTTGGAAGACATTTTTAGAACATTTACCTGATTTTTCTTGAACTGTGTATCCTGCAAAGTGGCATCACTGAAATCTCAGCAAACATAGAGCCTGCCTTGAATGCTCTGAGGCAAGAACTGTTGAACAAAAAACTTAAGCAAGTAGAAACTAGAAGCTGGCATGTTTGAAAGAAAAGGTGAAGGAACCATTATAACAGTTTACAGGAGGAAAGAGGCCAACTTTTTTGTCCACAGATGGACGTTATATACCAAACATAATAGAATCAAATGAAATGAGAAGGGAGACATCATTTATGCTGTTGGTTTATAATAAAAAGCAGGTACTAAAGAAGCCTGTGTACTATGAGGTGTCCAGAATAGCAGAAACAACCATGTGGATTTGCTGCAACCCACTTGGTCTGCATAACGTTGTTCTGCACAGGTGCTAGGTGCTCAGTGTAGATGATTGCTGTCCCAAATCAAAGGGGAAGTCACCTGCTCTCCTCACTTGGAAAGATAGCATATCAAAGGAATGTCCCAATGAGAGACTATCTGCGTTAGAGCTATGTCTCAAGGGGTATGTGAAAGCTTATCAGAAATGATGACATCTATGCAGAAAGCAGCACTCAAACAGCAGCTGAACTAGTCAGAGCTGCAAGTAACACGGACAAAGTGAGGACAGTTACTTTAGTGTACCACCTTCATCTCTGCCATATTTTACTACATTTGGTAGGAATGTTTGTTTCCTTCAATGGTCACTGGATGAGGATTTGACCTGTTCGTTTCTTCTCTTCATAGTAGATAAAAAAGCACTGGTAATGCTTTTAGAATGGTCAGTAGCATCACTAGTGGATTGAATGCAGGCACATAAAGTTTTTATTGGGAAGAGGTAGCTCCCATTGTCTTTGTGTGATGTACACAAAGAAAAATAAGGGATTGCAGATATCTTCCTGTTTTGAACAGTGACGCTAAGAATTGTTAGTAAGAAAGCCACCATGAAAGAAAACCTAGATAAATTTTATCAATGTATATGTATGACAGTACTGCTGTACTGTATTGTAAGAGGGAAAAAAAAAAAAAAAAAAAAAAAGCCTTATTAATTTTAAAAACTTTAAAAAAAAGGGCCATCAGAGAATCTGGTAATCTGGTAAATTTAACAAAAACATTTCAAAGCAGTTTCTACAGAATTTACTATGGAGAAAGAAGAATGTAGCTTTTTTGGGGTGAGGTGGGTGGAGAATGATCTAATGTAACTTAGTCATTCTCAAAAGATTTAAAAATAAATCTGATTTGCCTCTCCACCATTTGTTATCGTTTTTGACTGACAGTAAGGTACATAGGACTGCTAAATACAGCAGCAGTATTGTTTGGATTTTTTTTTTTATAATGATCTGAATGTCAGCTCAGTTGTGGATCTCATTTAGAAGATCATGCAGCTAAAACAACAGAATGGACTCATTTGTTTTGGATTCACTGTCCAAACCACCTGACATTTTGTTCAGCTTGGACAAGTTAAGGTGAAACCTGAAAATACACAAAAATCAAGTGATTCTGAGATTTGTGTCAAATCTTCTTCATCTATTAAACAGTGAGTTAACTGTATTTCTTCTTAATCTTGCCTATTTGTTCTGTAAGATCTATGTTTGTATGCTCTTCGCCTGAACTGGTGCGAATACCCAATTAATCATTTTGGCACCTTTGTTTTTCATAGATAATAAGAGCCAAAATTCCAACCTAGTAAGTTGTTCTTGAAAAAAATGTATTGGACAAATCTTCACATTATCATGGAGATGTCATTAGGTGCCATGTTACATCTAGAAATCTGACCCCCTAATTTTTGGCTCAGATATATGAAGGATAAAGTCTGAGAGGGATATAGGAATTACAGTGTTCAATAGAATTTATAAGTTCACGGTCAGTGTTCTGGTACTTAGGAAACACCATGGGGAAAAATAGAATTTGTCTTCTTTTTCTTCAGAGGTAACTTTTCTCTGATTTCCATGATCAAGATATTAAATTTAAGCATTTGAACTGGTTCTTATATATTAAAACAACTTATACATTAAATCCAAAATTACCCCTTGCAATGATAACACTGTTTAATCTGGGGTTTAAAATACTATTTTAATGAAAAAATTCAGTATCTTTATTAATTTTTTGCCACCGTCTGGTTCATATATTTTCTGTTTGAAACTTTGCATACAGTTATCCACACAAAATACAACACCGTAAACAGGACAGAATTGCTCAAGAATCAGGACCAAATTTCAGATCTATGCTCTAGGCTCAGTAATAATATAGACATTGAATAGAACCAGTATTAAATAATATTACCATGGAAAAAACCTTTTTTTTTCCCTAAACATTCCCTCCATGACTTCAGCAGTGGTGGAATTCTCAGCATAAAAAATTTCAGCTCTGAAGGCTCTTATAGGGACTGCATTGGTTGATAGGGATGGCTGCAGGCATTTGGGGGCAAGCCAGAAAGTAAAACTATTTGTCAGAGTAACAGAAAACCAGGGGTGTGAAAGTAAGATGGCTCACCTGCAAATATGTCACTTAGAACCGTGTAAAGTAAAATACTGCAGTGTCAGTGTTTTGACAGCTGGACTACTGATATAAAGGAGACAACACTTCTATTCCAGCTGGGACCTACAGTCACATCCCAATCTGTTTTTTAAGCAAGGCCAACAGGCATAAAGTCTGTGGCTGGAGGTGGGTGATCACATGGGTGATCAAACTTTCTTTCAGTCATAGGTAAGCAGTGAAGTCCTCTGTCAAGTGAATTATTCTCAGCAGCCTGATTATCATCATTCAGTTTTAATATCTTTTTCTTCTGAACTTTTAACCTTCCTTCTTCAGGGCAGAACTCATCACACTTTAATAACCTAACTCATCTACTTGAGCTGCCCAAGTGAGTGTATTTTGGCATTGTCTATGAATATGTTTGCGCTGTTGGTACAGTGCCCAATCAAATTTCACATGGATTTCTGAAGACTATGTCCTGGTAGAAAGAGATATTTGCAAAGTGCAGAAGCATTTAGCAATGGAGCCAGGTATGCTACTTCCTTATCCTGCTTACTTATGCATTCTGCCCAACCTTCTGTTTCCTGCTCTCACTGATTTGTGGGCTGACTATTCATGTGCCTCATAGATTTCCTCCTCCAATGCCTTTCATGTTTTGTTATCTTTTAAAATTTGTTTTTGTATCCCACCGCATTCTTGCCAGCTATCTATCATCTTCTGTGATCTTCAGGAGTCAGAGTTGTTCCAGGTCCCCCAGACTGTTTGGCAGAGAAAGCTTCCTAGTCAGCTTTGGCAGATGTACATACAGCATGTACTTTTCCACATGTTATCCTAATTGACTACACACAGGTAAAAACCTAGTTGTACCGTGAGCTAGTCACATTGTGAGGCTTTCCCTTTTTGGAAAACATCAGACTATACAGATAAAAGCTGTTAGGTCTCTGGCACTGTTCATAGCAACAAGCTTATCTGAGCTAAGGAATCTATCATCCATTCTTAAGAGCTGGCAAAAGTTATTTCCTCGTTGATAAGTGCTTTCTTCTGATTATGCCTTCTTTTCCATTTCAGGTTCCTTCAGATACTGTGTAAAACATCTGAGGCTCTGCTACAAGATCTCTTCCTTTCAATTTTCTTTTTTTATCTCTAACTAAAAGTGCCAGCATAGAGCCTGCTGATCATATACTTACAGCTATTGAGTCTCCTTGTTCTGGTATGTATTGAAAACTCAGACTTCATCTTTACTTTCTGAAAACTTAAACATAATGCTAAACATATCGTATGTCTATGATTTGATCTGGCACTTATCACCAAACTGGCACCAATGTCAAGGGCTGTTGTTTGTGGAAAAGATTTATTCTCATTCCTAGTTGGCTGATTTGAGGGAAATATCAGGATTTGCATAAAAAGAAGCACTATCTTAGGTGGCCGGGATACAATTGATAAAGACATTTTTTTCCTGATACTTACCAAATACTCTCCAGATTCTGTGATCTTCACAGTAACATAAATATACTTTCTTCTTCCCTTTTCACCACCACAGCTGGTTGAAAAACGAGATTTTCAAATCTTATTTGTGAGACACTAAGTTGCTGGGTGTGTTTGACTCCTTCTAGGAGAAAAAAGTGCATACACACAGTAATAGGCAGCCTTCTTTTATAGCCTTCTAGAGCATTTCTTCACTCCTACAGACTGGCTTCTCAGCTCTGTATGTGAACCTGCTGCACCCACAAATTTCATACCTCTCCTCTGTTCAGTCACACATCAGCAGCCCAGATGCTCCCACATCCTGACCCAGAAGTGCAGCTCCCAGCAGAGTTCCTGCAGGAAGCACTGCAACAAAAGCACCCAGCCAGCATGGTGCTGCTGGCACACACAGAGCAATGAGCTTTTTTTAAACCAGTGGATTGAAGGTAACTCCCTTCATAGAGAAGTGGTGCCTGAAACTCAGCTAAGATGCTTCCCCACACAAGGAACTGAAACTGCTATTGTCACCTGCAAGATGCTGTGAGCCTGTGTTCACAAGAGATATTGGCTTGTCTGGCACCAGCTCCAGAACCATTCTCACTATGAAGAAGCTTTGCTAGTTTCTGACAGAATTTCCCTGGCTACAGCTTGTACCCATAGCCTCTTGACCTTTTCTTACATGCCTCTCAGAAGAGGAACTGTGAAGTTCAAGCTGAGTACAGCGCTCCAGACATGATCTCACAAGTGCTGAGTAGAGGTAATAAGCAATTCCTTTGACCCGCTGGAAATGCTTTTGTTAATGCAGTCAGTATGCCACTGACTCTCATCCCCATAGACACATTGCTGACTCCTGTTCATCTTGATTACAAACACCAAATATCCTAGTGAGTTGGAGGCCATGTGGCCCAGTGCTGCAGCAGATGCTTTCTGCTCTCTTACCAAGACCAGTTTTTTGTGGGTTTCCATTTCCTTTTCATGCTTTAGATAAGATGATTCACCTTTAGTCTCTGTAGGAGGAGAGGGGGAGGGAACCCCACCTAATTCTCTTGTTAAATTATGTGTAGGAGAAATTTTATGAACTTTCTTCATCTAGTGAATGAAGCTATATTGCTGAATATTGAGAATGTATTATCATAGAATCACAGAAACATTAAGAAACATTGGAAAACACCTCTAAGATCATCTAGTTCAATTGTCAGACTATCATCACAATGCCTACTCTCCCATGTCCATCACTGCCACATAAACACTTTTCTGTGGCAATGCAGACAATATAAAAATAATTTGGCATATAGTTTACACACATACAGCACCATTACCCTTCTGAATGTAGAATGCTTTTTTTGCAAAGACCTCAGTAATGGAGAAAAGTCTCAATTAATTTGTTTCTGTCCCATTACACATCCACTCCAGACTGGTATAGTTGCCATTTGGTTGAAGACAAAAAAAAAAAAAAAAAAAAAAAAAAAAAACAAAAACATGAGATAATTTATTGTTGTCTGTGCCCCATCTCCCAGTTTTATGTATTTTTAAAACTGGATCAGTGACAGGCACTTCCCTGGAGTTTTTTGTCTGTGCAGCTCAATCTCTTCATGCTGTTACATCTCTGACTGTTCAAGCCCATTCACCATTCCCGGACTTCCTCCAGAATGGTTTGCTATGCCTTATGTCAGAGTGATACATTTTCTTTGCTGTTATTATGTTGCCTTGGTAGTTTGGGATCAAGAAGGACAACTTCAGCAAGCCACTTTGTGATGATACAGCACTCCATTTATTTATTCAGTAAGTCTGCTTTTCCTCGTACTGGTCTCTTTAAAATTTCAGGGTAAAGGAAGCTTGACTGCATGTGATGATCAGCATCATTCTTGAGTTCTACTATCTGGGCTGTAATAGCACCTTTCTCTCATCTCCTTGCCTCTACTGTATGGCGTTGCTACTTAAAGAGATGGATGATTGCTTGGAGGAGCGGCAGCCAGGCTGAAGACTGGGATCAAGTACTTTTCAGCTAGAGACCTCCCCCCAGTGAAGAATAGAGGCAGCTATTAGGTGCCTCCGAGAAGTTTTGAAACAGAAACTCTGGAAGATGCTTCTTGAAGAAAGCGTGTGCATAGGCAGTTTCCTTAGAGATTTTAGCTGACAGAGTATCTGTAGGTATTTGCCTGCAGGGAAAAAGAGGCTTATAGTCAGGATGATAATGGTAAATTGTGCTGGTGGAAAAATCTCAGCAGGCGTTATATTAAGGACTAACTATGAAGATCTTGAGCCATCTCGGAGGCTGGCTGGATGTTTCCATGTTGATCAGTAAGTGTTTCAGTAAGCATAAGTTCCCAAAACACATATGTTCTCTAGGACGTGTCTAACTTGCTAGGAGAACGTGAAGGGAGCTGAGAGATGTGGCATTAGGATCATCATGCTTGCCAAGAGGATGCGTGCCTTGGGATAGAGCTACATTGCCTTTTCACCCATGCAGTGTGCACAAATGCAGATTGAAGACAGAGACTGCCTTTGATATCAAGAGTGTCTATATTCAGTTAATATTTCTTTACTCTTTCACTTCTCTCTGAGTCACCTATTGTTCTTTGTTCCTCCCTCAGTCCATGAGGGAGTTCAGTCTTAGTAATACTAATCTGTTTTGTTTTTCATGAGTAATTGCTCCCTTTCTTTATTCAGTTCATGTATTTCATTTTCTTCCTCTTGTGTATCTTTGTCCTATAAGGATTTCCATGCCTTCTTTTTGCCTTGCTTTTCTACTACAAGAATCACCTCCCAGGCTGCTCTTTATACGCATCCTCTAAATTATCAACTTTCACCCACCGGACTAAGAATCACTGTTCAGCTTCCAATGCTCTCACTGTAATTCTATTTCCTTTTTGAGAAAAAAAGTCATGTAATGTAAATAAATAACACGCACTATTTACAGAAGAAGAGCTGTGCCAGGTACCATTTGGTCTTTTAACTGAATCATCTGACTTAGGCTTATATTCTAATTATGGGGGGAAGAGACTCTTCAGCATGTTTACGTCAATACAGACATATCATGGGTGAACAACCTCAGTGAGGTTCTTCTAAAAAAAAATAAAAAAACACAAACAACAAAACACTGTTCTAAAAAGTTTTTTTAAATAGTAGTTTTTTTAAAAAAAAGCACACAAAAAAAAATCTATTGTCTTCTAGACTTGATAACTTTATCTAATCATTTATTTTTCTCTTTGAAGTAATAATTATTTTGAAGGAGGATTGCTGATAACTGAGAATCATATTTCAAATTGCTAATATCAAGAGCATTCAGACCATATGGAATGAGATAGAGCAGACTAAGTAACTAGGCTGACATTTAGTTTGAGTGGTATTAGTGTGGAGCCACTTCTACGTACAGCTGTAACTGTGAGCCACTTCCTAGGGTAGGAGGAGAACAAGAGCAGCTATCCAAATCATGGCAAATCACACTCTATGATGGTATCTCACAGGTTTGATTGCTACCTGCATGTCTGGTACCTGCCTAATTTCAAACCACTGGAGAAGCCTTCCCAAGCAGCTACATTTCCATCTCTTCCCTTCCTCAGTGCATAACCCAAGTTTTCTGAGCAGAAATACTGTACACTCTAATTTTAGTGAGTGATCTTGTCTGAACATCAATATCCCGAATATTCAAAAACCTGAGATTTGCCAACTATTGAAAGTGCTTCTATCCTTGCAATCAAGGCACTAAACTAATTATAAAGATCTTGAGGGAAGTGCACAAGGAAAAGAAAATATGTTAAATCAGTCCGTGGGAAGGAAGTACCCTGATACTGATACAGAAACAAGACCTGAATTTATTAGGAAAACTATAGACAAAGAATGAGTGAGTTTGGCAGAAAAACAAGACCACTTTCTCTCAGTGCATCATATGTTCTTCTCTTTGTCACACATTTTATACAGCCCATGTGTTCTGTGCTTGTCTTCAGGGAATTCAAACATACATATATTGTGCAGTCATAAAAATTCACTAGAAAGAACAATGAAGTTAGCTAGGATAGTTGAAAAAACAGTTCATTGAAATTGATAAAAAAATACATAAAGGAAGCAGTTTAACTTTTGAAATGCTTGGGAACACCATTATCTTTTCAACAAGTGGTACATATATTTTTATTTCATTAAACGCAAAGTCTTCTCTTGTGTTTTATCACACCGAAAGACAAACTTGAACATTTCTCTGTAATTTCTAAATCTTTGGCCATTGATATATTTGCCAGTATACACAGATTAACTGCCTAGTGCCTGCACGAGGCATCCAGTGTGATCACAATGGGAGAATGACAGTCCTTGTGTTAACTGTTGTGTCTACTCATGGCTTTCCTATGCATTTCTGGTACAAATGCCTTTGCACATGTAGTGTTATAACTACATTTGTTCTCAAAAGACATTATATATAGGAGAATTGTTCTTGTCTGTTTTAGAGAAGTTTTGTTTTGTTCACTGCTACTCTATTCAGAAGGAGAATGTATGAGTAAAGAAGGATGGTAGAGCAGATAAGGTATAATTCCAAAAATAATTCTAAAACTCAGGCGTATGCCAGTTGCCTTAGCCAACCATTTAATTCCCCATATAGCAAGAGGGGCTACTTCCCATGCTATTAATTCATAAGTGAATTAATTCAACACCACAATGCCCCACAGAACAGTTACCCATTAATTTCCCAGAGTAATTAAAGAAGAATACATGACTACTTTAACACCCTGAAAGCTGCAGTCTAAAAAAAAAATGTTTTGTTAGCCCTTTCTCACTTTCCCAAACAACTCATTTTTCCCAACAGCAGAACTGTGATCCAATGCATTGAACATCATCTAACCTGAGCAGAGTGAAACCTCTGGTGTGTGTTTGCATTCATCTCCATTTAAAAAAAAACAAACTATTATGTAGTTAATTGTAGCTAATGTAGTTAGCTAGCAACATCTGAGTACCAAAAAATAAAAACACATGAAGGGGGGAAAATTCTCTAACAATTCAGCATGACTCATATCAAAGAGATTTAGACATAAAGCCAAGAAAAGAGACCAGATTCCTTTTGTGCTACTCTAAATGGTAAAATCAGAGTCTTATAAATTTTTATTTTCCCCCCCAATGTCTACTAACTAGGATCTTTTATGGTCCCCTTGCTATTTCCATCTAACCATGCTTTTTATATTTCTTGGAACCACATAGAGCTCTGGTAATACACAGATACATTACTGTAAACACTGGCTTAGTAACAATTGAGAACTATCTTAAAACCTACTGTTTTTATTTTCCAGTTTTTGCTTCCTAGGTAATGTAGTAAACAAAAATATTTCCCTGCTATTAGAAATTTGGATAGTATTTCTCGGTATTTACTAACTCTTACTATTTCTCTGGGACACACATTGTCAGAATGATAAAGCATGATATTTGTAAAAAGCTACAATTTCATTCACTCAATTTGAATGTTCCAAATCCATTTCCTTCACAATAAAGATGCTTTCAGTTGTTCCCAATGAAAATTGAACAGTACTGTCATCCATTTATTTATAAAGTCCTCCACCAGCATAGCTGTCAGCATAGCTGGGAACTGTGATCTGTCACTAGATTTACATTAATCTTCTCAGTTTTTCTTTTCCTTAGGAGAAAAGTATCTTACACTACCAACGTTGCCAGATCTCACTACTGATAGAGCCTGAACTCGATTGTCAGAGCTGCAAAGCCTAATGCTCTTCCTCTTGCACAGAATTTTCAGTAATGATTGTATCCAGGGAGGTCCTGTTTGCATTTACATGCTGTACTTTGTGCACATTTTACCAAAACACAAAATATTCAGGCTATCCAGGTGTTGCCTTCAGGATCTAGAATCATTTTTCTGAAAACTACTGTCCAGATAAACTGTTAAGTTTCTTAGGCTTTGGGTTAAAGTTCAAGGTCAGGGATACTTTTGTGCGTTCCTACCTGGATTTTTCATCCTCACAGTGATATTTCACATTAGTCAGCATTCACAGGAAAGTTATCTGATTTTTCTTTCAAATGAAGTATTTAGACTTCCTTTTTCATCTCCAAGATGTGTTTCATAGGCTGTTGCAGTCAGAGCTAGATTATTACTCATAGATCTGTACTATTGCCTCTCCTATGTGTATCCACAATCTGTAGCTTCTCTGAACTCTGTTTCTTTCATGACTAGAATTACACCTGCATCGACAAAGTTTAGAAGAGACAATTATTAGAGGAAAACAAAAAATAAAAACAGAACCTCCAACAAATCCTGTTCAGGCCACTTTGGGAATTGCTAGCGTGTGGGAATTGATGTTAGTGGCTCTTCTACTTTCCCCAGCTTTCTCAAGTTCAAATCCAGAAAAATCGGTTTCATGTGATGAAAGCCCAGCTTCTGGCAATTAGAGGTCTTCCATTCCATCCCCACTTACCAAATCCCCCCCGCATCAGCTGACGTTCTTTTATATATTTCCAAACTGCGTCTCAGGAGATGCTTCTGCTTTGCCGCTTGGCACATTTTGTGTTGTCCCTCTTAGTAATTATCATTGATCCACATCTTCCACCTTCTTTTCATGTTTTTACTGCTTATTTTGACTTCTCTGTTCTCTCTCCCACTCTCTTCCATTCGCTTCATAAATGTATTTTAGCTTAGATAAAGTCAGTGCACAACTTTTCTAGATCACTTTAAATATTGGATCTGATTTGCTGGTAGGATACTCTATATTCCTCCAATTTTTTGCTCTGGATGATACCAGATACTGCATCTCATCCATTTATCTTCATATTACTATTACCTCTCATCTTCAAACGTCAGTATCTCAGAATAGTGAATTCTAAATAAGTCTCTACACTTTTTCCAGTTCATTATTACACAATAATGACATTTATCCATTCCTGTTTTTCAGGACAGCTGTTATCCATCCAAACAGCACGATCTAAAGTGCTTTGAAGGCTGATCTTTGTAAAGTTTTTTGCTGTCTTTCATAATTCGAGCAGAAATATTTTTCATTGTATCACAGCTCCAGTTAATTTCCACACCAGAATATTCAGTCACCCTCTCGGTATTTATTTAACCCAGCCTGAAGTTCATAATATGTATGTTGCTTATGCCCAGACCTTTAAAATTACAGGGGAACAGTTGCTAGATACTCTGTATCTTTAAGGATTTGGGACCCAAATAATCTTTGGTAAATTTCTTATCTAGTTTTTAACACAGTTCTGCAAATTCCTATTGAGTAACTCTTCCCTGAAATAAATGAAAGTGACAAGTGGGAAAAAGACTCCCTTTTGTAACAACAGCACATAAACCCACATTACATCAGCCATAGTACCTGCTTAGCCTTAGGATGTAGAAACTTGTATTATATAAAGGGGAACTACCTCATCATTCAAGGAATTTTACATTTTCCTTAGACCCAAAAGAGAGCTGTATTTTGTTCCCAGTTTCAGCACCCTCCTCATCAGCAAGTACCAGAATTCAGTTGTTCCTCTCCATACTCACAGCTGCAGTGAGACTCCGTATCCTCATTCTGTAAGCTCATGTTCAGAGGAAACAGGTGCTGTAAGTGCATAACCTTGCAGGGTGGTGCTGATGAGCTGATTAAAATAATGTGTGCGTTCTTTGCCTAACAAAGAGACACCTGTGTTTGGTTGTATTTTTTTTCCTTGCTTTATTTGTTGTTGAGTTTTAAAACAGTCTGAAGTTTAAAAAGAGTGAATAATAAAATTATTTGGCAAGCTGTACTTGTTGGTTTTTATTTTAATTTATTATTATTTTATTTCTATATATGTAGAAGTATGTAGACAACAGCTGGTGCTACCTAGAAAAAATACTTGAAGACACCCATAAGGACAAAGGATGGCTATTCTAGAGTTGTCCCTTAATTCCTTAAAGGGTAATCCATCCTGTCTGAGTGGCCTATAGCAGACTCTCTCATTGACATCCACTTTCTTTCCTTGTTCCTTAATCCTCACCCACAGCCTCTCAACCATGTCACAGCCAGCTGCAGGCTCCACACAGCTCAGCCCCAACCTCATGCATGGCTGCTCTTGCAACCAGGTTTTGCTTCCTGCAATGATGTTGTAGTTGTGGGATTGAGACAAGGCTTTTAGTTCCTCTTGTATGTTCATCTTGCTGCATACATTGGTGGAGAAACATTTCAAATATTCCATGTTGTACCCAGCACCTCATGGAGCAGGCTGAGGATCTCACTAGCACACAGCCCCTTGAATTTTGCAGTGCCATCCAGCCTGTTCCAATAAACCTGCTTCCCAGAAGGAACTAGTCAGAACGGGCATAGAAACATTCTGGGAGTCCACAAATTCTGGCAGAAAGCTTCACTGTGACACAGAGATGTATTTATAATGAAGAAAACACAGTGACATAGAATGGACTGTGACAAAGAAGGAGTTATGCCCAGTCCCTTTAAGAGTCTGGATGCTGCCTTGACATTAGAACAAGGATTGTGACAGTGTGTGAGCTTGCCAACAGAACCCCTGAGTTTGTTATGGCAACAGGGCTGTCATGAAGTTAGCTAAGAACAGGATCTCCTGCAATCATAGCGTCCTTTGAACTGAGACAGCTAGATTCAAGTTTTCTATACAGAAATCCTGTGAAGAGAAGGTAGTTGTCTTGTGTTAACCTGTTGCTTGTCTTGGGAAATTATCATGGGAAATCAATTTCCCATGATACTCAGCTTATCTGCTTTCTTCCACTTTTGCTCCACTTCCTCAAATTCAGTAACAAATTAATTGCCTTACTTGCCTTAGTCTTTTATCAAATATGAAATTTATGCTTTGTATCCGTTTTATAAAGTGCAGCAAATACCATGAGACTGGAAACAAGAAGCTGAATTCTTAGTTTGCATGCTGAATTGTCTGCCTAGCTCCAGTTAATTAAAAGGACAGTATTGTCTTCCAGCTAACAACTTGCTGTAACCTTACAAGTTGTGATTTTGCCTATGCAGAAAACTGTAAGAACCCCTCTAGATTAGGGTAGATTTCTCAGCCACGTTTCATTTTGAAGAGAATGAATCATCTATGAAGAAAGGCTGAGTGAACTGGGTCTGTTTAGTCTTAAGAAAAGAAGACTGAGAGGGGACCTGATCCAGGTCTACAAATATCTAAGGTGTAGGGGACAGAGTGGCGAGGCCAGACTGTTTTCAGCAGTGTGTGGAGACAGGACAAGGGGAAACAGCCAGAAACTGCAGCATAGGAAGCTCTGCACAAATGTGCACAAGAACTTCTTTACAGTGAGGGTGACGGAGCACTGGAACAGGCTGCCCAGGGAGGTGGTGGAGTCTCCTCTGAAGATGTTCAAACTTGCCTGGACACCTACTTGTGCGACCTGGTGTAGGGACCCTGCTTTGGCAGGGGTTTGGACTCAATGATGTCTGGAGGTCCCTTCCAACCCCTATGATTCTGTGATTCTATGATTTTCCATAAGTTGAGTAGTACTTTGAAGGGAATTACTGACAGATGTTAAAAAGACTAGTGAGATTCCCAGAAGATGTATTTGCATCACTACATACAGTGATTTTTCATGCACTTCTAGACAAAAAAAAAATCAAGTTAGGCTTCTTGACACTTTTATATATCATCCCTAAACATATGCCCTAAGTGTATGTTCCTAAATTCAACTCGGAGTCACTTTGTTGGATACATGTGATCTGCTTCATACATATTCTCATTCTGTTCCAGAACATCCCTGGAGACACTCTGATGTCAGTAGAAGTCTCTCACATTCAGAAAGGATCTCTGTTTGCTGAAGACCAGCAAATGTGAGGTGATTTGAAAGAACTCAGCGATCTAGAGGAATTGAGACATTCATTCCAAACAGCTATGGACAAACTAGTGAAAGATATTGAGCTTACATTACAGGAAACCCAGAATAATGGTAACAAGAGGCACAAGAAGCAGCAACAAGTGAACATGGTATGTGGAAAATAGAGTTCTTCCAGATGTAAAAGTACAACAAATCGTGGAGGGTGTAGATCAGCCTGCAAAGGAGTGTGTGGATCATGAGAAATTTGAGTTTCTTCTGAGAGAAAAAGAACTCCAGTAGCTTAGATTTTTTGTGCATTATATCAAATTCACAAGATGTGAGATCTTTCTACTTGGTTAAAAAGGTTGTAGTGTTTGATTTAGGCCAGAAAGACCCTAATTAAATATTTTTTGAACATTCTGAACGTTCAAATCAGAAAATTTTGACAGGGGGGATTTTTCATGTTTTGTCAGACAACATTTGTAAGATGTAACAGTGTAAGATTTCTTTTCAAAATCTAATGATTAAATTTAGAAATGATGGAAATTAGAGAAATGAGGGTTATTAAAGAACTAGTGAATCATTACATGAAAGTATGAATAATCGCTTGAACAAATACTCAGATAGACTTAGATGAATCTAAGATGAATCCTTTTGCATTTCTATCAGCTTGAAAATGAGTTTAACAACTCTCCAATTTCTAGCAGGGTGCCATGAGAGACATACCAACATCATATTTCATCTCAGACAATACAACTGAGAACATGGATGCTAGGAGTCATATGGCACACTTGGATGTGATGGGAAGAGCAAGTACTTTGCAGTCTGAAGTATCCACCAGTGTGGAAGAACAGAAAGAGCTTTGCTACATGCAGGTCACTGCTGCTGACATTGAACTTCAGAGGATGTGGTGCAATTTTATGCTGGCTGAACAGAAATATGAACATGAGGATAGTGACAAACAAAGGCTTCATGAAGAGAGAATGGCCCGGATTCATCAACAGGTAGAGAAAAGTGCAGTGAGTAGGAAAAAGAGAGGGTTGAACCCAGTACAGATCGAAACATTCAATTCCTGTGTGAAGTACTTTGTAAAATTTTGTTCTTTTGTGTATTGAGTAGTGCTGTGACTTCTTTTGAAGTTAGACTTCAGAAGATGATCCTTAAAGCTTGTACATGTACTAAGGAGATGGATTCTTCTCCCTAGAACATTCACTGCAATAAAATGTAAGAACTGATAACTCACAAATTAAGTTATGAGGTAAGGATCCACAAACACGTTTTTTTTTCTTACTCTTTCCCCTTGAATGACAGAGGACTTGATCTGAATGCCATACTAGTCAGTGCAGAAGTTTCCTGCCTCTACAGTAGGAGCAATTTCCTGAGTTACATTTGGCTGATTCAGATAGGAAATGCATGAGTAAATGCATGGATGAAATAATCTATCAAAACAATACAACTAATCAGTTTTGCAAGACTTCTTTTTATAGAAGTAGCTGAGGTTATCATATGTTCAATATTTAGCGTGTTGTCAACAGCAGCCCAGTTCCAAAGAGGCCACTCAGCAGTTTAACCAACAGGACAACTAGAAAACCTGGTTTTTAGAACTTTCCCTGATCAGCCTCCAATTGTCATTGGATTGAGTTAGGGAATAAACAGAGCATCTGAATTTAAATCACACATATTTTAGAGGTACTTGTATATTTGACTTCACTTGCATGTTCTGTGCTTTAAATCAGGACAGAATAAAAGGATGTTTTATGCAGCATTCATAGCATTGTGTTGTACATATCTCAGATCATGTGCAAGAATGGCATTCTGGTAAGCTCCATAGAATCCTTGAAGTTTTCTAGTGTCAATTAAGAGAAATACACTTGTTAGATTACATGCATCTGACTAAACATCTCAGGTATTGGATTCTTTTTAGTAAAGGCCTGAAATTTTGCCCATGAGCCTGCGTAAATGTTTGAAAATGACCATGCAGCAAAGAAGCACTGGCTATAGTTATTCCACAAATATAGAGATGGATGCAAGAAGTCTTACCATGAGCGTGCACTTACCTCTCATGAATTACTCTATGTACTTGCACACTCTGTAAGTGAGGTCACTTAACATTTATTTCAGAGAGAAAACAGTCTGTGTTATGGATATAGGAGGGAATGTGACTTCTGTTATTTAACAAAATAACTGATTTGGTCTCAGTTCACATGCTGCCTAACCTCACAATTATTCCTTATGAACTAAATATGCCAGTGGATGAGGTGTGCTCAGGGAAGCACGTGGATTGGGTGTGAGTGGAACACAGTCATGTAACATGATGTCTATCTTCTCTTTTCACAGTTTAGACAAGGACTCCAAGACCGGCTCCTGCCTCCAAACCAAAGTGTTTTGTTTTTCTTATACTGCTTCACCTTTATATTTATTATTTACATAGTAAAAGACCTGGTCTTTTACTTTTTCCAAAACCATCACCAGTTCTCTTTTGCTATTGTGCTCTTTCTCATTCTCAAAGGGATTTTCCAGGATTAAAAATCTAGGACAAATGTGCTCTTAAAAGAGATAGAATATCGTTCATTTTTCTGCCCCTGATCTTACTGCTTTTTGTTATCCACACCAACAAATAGTTACACAAAACTAACTGACTTCCTGAAGAAAACTGGAAATGGATGACATGATTTGACATCACATTGTCTTTACAAATAAAATAAGAAGTCTCCTTTGAACATGGTTTATTTTTTTTCCTCTCCTCCTTGGATTAACAGAGTGGCTTGGCTTTATCCATCTACCTGTATATGTATTTTTGTGCAGAAGTTTCAGAGCTAATTCATTAGTTGTGGAAAAGTACTCAGGATAACTTAATATTGCTATAAGTTCATTGCTATCTCTGCTTCTGGGATAGACACGTTCCCCTCTGTGCCGTGGCACTCTCTATACTTACACACAGCTTCAATCAGCAATAAACCAGCAAGTACTGGCAAACACATACCTTATTTGTAACTCAGGTGTCATGATTTCTGAAGTCTCCCCAGTGATAAGAAAAGGTATCAAATATAGCCCCAATAAAAAGGCATTCTGTCTAGTGAGATGATTTTTCAGTGCTACTTCAATTGTACACTGATATTGTAAATTGATATTTCTAACAAAAAATAGTCATCTACCATATGGTATGTCAGGTTCAAGTAACTACAGTGTCATGATCTTCCAGGGATGTTAGAACATAATTCATCCACATATCCTCATACACATGCCTGACTGTTTCATTGAAATAGCTTTTGTCTCAGTCTCCCTTCTCTTTGCACTGTGCTGTGAAAAGGACAATAACCTGAAGGGTACTCGATAATCAGGTAGGTTACAAAAAATAAACCAAACACTCAGGTCAGGGTTTAAAATGATGAAAGGGATGTAGGCTTCCTTACTCAGGTCTCTATCTGTGATGAGTTTGACATCAGTCAATGTTGTATTTCTTGGGTGTTGCTGTCGCAATGTTTTCACAAAGCCACTGCTGCATATAAGGCTGTCTGCATCAAGGCAGTAGAGAAAAGCACATTTGACATCCACATTTAGTGACTATTTTCCTGACAGTGCAGGAAAAGCGTAGAGCACAGGGTCTTGCACTTCCACAGCTTCTATATTTCTTAAGCTGTGAAGGGTTACAAGGAATGTCCAATTGACATTTAGGCAAAAATCCACAGAAGTCTGCGATGAGCTATGACAAAATCTCCCTAAAAGGAAATTTGACCAAGTAAAATGAGGTTGCTTGCTATAGGTATCACCAGCATACACAGATTTAGACAACTAGAACAATCAAAAATAAATGAATGAAGGCTTTAGTAAGCTACAGTTCCTCTACTTCTAGTAGAAGTGGTCCCTTCATCTGCTTTAGGATTTTGGTGGAAGTCAGCAATTAGACTTTATATTCCAAATGACCTGGGAGTGAGAACTGTAAATAAGCTGCTTTTTCTGTATTTTTCAGTGAGGAAAATCTGTATTTTCCTCACTGAAATCTTAAGAATGTCACCCTGATGGCTGAGAGAAACCCATCCTTTGCTTACTGCTGAATCTGAAAATGCTTCCTGTAGATAATCTTTAATATAAATACGGTTTGCAATGAGACAAGTTACTTGGAATATCTCTTTTCATTGTTGGAGACTTTTGGGTTCTAACAGACAGGAGAGATGATATCAGTCTGCATTTGGAATTAACTCAAAAGACAACCAGAAGTTGTCACAAATGTGAATCCACTGGAAGATCCAGAATATAGAGTCTGTGTAGAAGTAGTATTTTTAATACTTGCTTGATGCTAGATTTTGGAGATGCTGACTTATTTCATGGGGGGCAGAAAGAATAGCCTTTTGCATTTTATTTACTGCACATGTGAGATAATACTGAGCAGCCTTGAGAGACAGCTGCCAAACCACGTGTGTATACTCCAAACACACACATAGCCTAAGACCATAAAATTAAGGAAAAAAATAGGTAGACCTCTTTCTGATACGTCATCCTTGTGAGCACCCATTCTATACTTTTAGACATATTCCCTTAAGGATGAGAGACAGACAGAGATTGCCACTGAAAAAAAATTATATTGGCTGAGCTTCTGGGAGGTGCCTGGCTATGCCCCTGCCCATGTTTTACAACAGTAGGCACTCATCACAAAGTATATGGTTTTATGTGAAACCACAGGAAACTTGGTGGTTTCAGCTATTTTAAGTCTACAAGTAGGCAGTATTTTACAGCTGGTGTGGTTTCAAGAACACCACAGTAGGCAAAGAAAGCTTTTTTAACCTTAAGGGTCATAGAAAAAATGCTAGTCTATTGTTTCAGGGGTCCCCGTGAAGAGCTCCAAATTAATGAATAAAAGGTTAAAAATAATGGCGTGATATTATACATATTTACATGTTTGGCATTTAACAGGTGTTTTATAGATACCTGAGCTGGGTGTTGCTAACTCAACAAAACAAAACATTTGCTGATTCTCATATTAGTCAAGACTACACTTCACAGCATTTAATTTTCTTATTCTCCTCTAATGAGGGTGGCTGAATCAAATGAAAGTGCAAATCTAGAAGAGAAAGCATCACCCTGCTGGATAAGCAAATCCAATTCATATTTAGCAAACTCATTTGGGGGCTTTCTAGCCAGTTTTTTTTAAAGATCACAGCTGAGGTGTTTTAGAAGGCTGCAAGGTCAGCTGCTCTGCAAAAATTTTGCATGGTCTCTCTCAGTTAATTTGTGCTTTCAGATCTCAGATTTATGTTTTAAGCTTAAACAAAGCTCTTACATACACATAAGCTTAATAAACCTGGTTCAAACTTTTTCATTCATTGCAACAGAAAGCAGAGAAGAGAGGAAAAGGAGACTTGGAGCGCAGCAGAGAAGATCATGCCTGAAAACAATCCACTGCTTTGAATGCCAACGAGGCAAAGTTCAGCAGGTCAGATAACCCTCAGCAGAAAGAAGGGAAACACAGCGGTAAGACTACACGCTTTCATTGCCTCCGCTGAGCAAAATTAAAACCACATTACACCGAACGTTACCGGCGACACTGAGCAGAGGAACTGTGAAAGCCCTGCATTTGCTCACGTTGCCTCAGCAGGCAGGGAGGAAGGGGTTTACGGAGCAGCTCCCCAGCAGGCATTCGAACTCTGGCTGGTCTGGGACAGCCCTAGGACAGGGATGGCGCTGGGAAAGACGCCAGGAGCCTCGCCCGAGCCCGGCCCCTCCGGGGTGCGTTAAGGCTGCTCTTAGGGGCAGGATGCGAGCAATGGGAGTGCTGGGCGAGGAGGAGTTACCCGCCGTCCCCAACAACGCGGGACAAAGAAACCTTGGAGATCCTCACTAGAACATAAGGGTGAGTGGTCTGATGCTCTTTGTAACGAGGGGAGGGGTGCTGCAGTGGTTTGGCTTGCTCTTGATTTTACTTATTTTTAGCTACGGAATTCTGGAAGATATGTTACTCAGGTAAGAGACCTGTAATTTTGGAAGAGCGATTTGCAAATCGGTTATGAAGGGAGTGAGACATGACAGCAGAAAAATGAATTATTTTCAGTGAGCTGCGGTGGTGGGCGGACAGCACCTGTGTGCTCCCTGCCTAGGCACTCAGCGTCAGCAAAGTCAGGTGGAACGGCTCCTGCACACCTGATTTCAATGAGCGGGGGGATTGTCTGTGGCAGGGCTGGGTGCCTTTCTGCTGGTGGTGTCATGAGTTGCTGTTGCTCTGGACTGGGCACTACTGCTTTGAATCTTTTGAGATAAGTTTAAAGGCTACCACTACTCTTGCTAGCAGTGATGAGCAGCCTGCTTCCAGGTATGTTGCACGTGCTTCTTTTTGGTGGTATTTTTTTTTGTGTTGTTGTTTTCTTTTGGGGGGCGGGATGGAGAGGCTTTAGGACTTCTGATGCCATTTGCAGTTAAACTTTTGTCTAGCACAGATAAAGCTTCTGCCTATTGCCTTCAGCGTTATAAACTGCTTTGTAAATTGCGTGGTGTGAGATGGGCTCCCTGTTGTGTTACAGTTATGGTAATGACTCCTATATGTACAAAATTAGAGAGTAAAAAGGAGTTGATTGAGCATGTATGTGGCTTGTTCTTACCCTTAGCAGTGGTAGGTAAGCGCTGATTGTGAGTGCTTGCAACTGAGATGTAGTTGATCACACCCAGGTGTGGGTTTGGGCTCTTTAAAGGAGCCTCATCCCTAAAATCCCAGACCATTTAAATATCTGTATTTGTATTTTCCAGGGCCTATTTGGTCTAAGTTACTGTAATGTTCTTGAATTTCCCTTTTGTCTGTGCTTTAGTTGTTCAAGGGCTCGTTTTGTTTTGTGCTGTATGTTTAAAATTTAACTTTAACTTGTCTCCAGGGATGCAGTGTTTGTCGAAGTGTTGCATTCTTGGCTTCTCTTTAAAAAACTAACAAAACAAACAAAACACCCAGTGATTGCAATACTACAGTGAGGCTAACAAGCTTCACAGTTTGTGAATTCCTTCTCATTTGGAGCTCAGAAACTTGTAGTTGCTTAGAACTTTATGGATTGCCCTCCTTTTAAACAAATTGAAATGCACAATTTGGGTAGGCGTTACTGAAATGATTATTTGGTTTCTTAAAAACTGATTTATTGAGACTTGTAGCTCCTTGTTGTGAGGAAAACTGAGAAACCGCACTGGTGCATTCTTCCAGGGACCTGACCAGGAAGATAGACCAGGCTGTAGCAACGAGGATAACTTTCACTGAGAGTGGAGAAAACCATTTTTTAACCTCAGTGGTAGATGGGTTAGCTGTCCTGGCTTGCTTATTTGGATGTTACTACTACAGTAGCTATTGTGATACTATGGGTGTCAAGTCTCATTACAGACAAAAAATCTCAGATATTCACCCTGAGTAGCAACTTTAATTTGAGTTGAGTGTCCCCATTTTTTTCTGTTTGCCAGCAGTAGAAGCTGAAAGGGTGGTTTTTTTTTATTTGAATGGGCTTTGCTTTCTGAGTACTTCAGCAAGTAAAATGTGAAGATAGGCCCTTGTTTGCTCTCTTTTACAGCCTTAAAATCTTAATTAAGAATTTCTCATTCTGGCTAAGAAATCTTTACCTTTGTATTATTACTGTTGTGTTCCAAAAGCTTCAGTGCTGCTTTTATTCTCAGTCTTAAACCTAACTTCACATTGCAGAAATATCTGAATATCTGAAGCCCATGTGGGTTAGTGTTATCTCTCCCAAGCATTCACATGAAGTTGTCTTTGATGCTGATGAGCAGAGCTGAGGTGCATCTCTGAGATGCTGAGGGTCATTCTGGTTGAAGGAACAGAACTCTTTCAGTTCCAGTGATTGGAGTAAACATGCGTTCTGCCACCTGAAATGCAACAGCAGCTATGACTTGTGGGGGCAAAGTGTGGTTGTGGGCAGCTGGACAGAAAAGTGCTATCAAGACAATTGTGTATAAATCAGGATGCTGTTAAGTGGTGTAAAGTAGATTCACACTCACAATAATTCTGTCATTCTTCATTTCTTCAGCTGTTCCTCTTTCCTCCAGTGCTCCTAAAGGACTGACTGGGCCTCTGCCCAGATGACTGTTATGTTTTACCAC